GACCTCTTCTGTTTGATAAAGAAATTGACTGGGTTGACGAACTTAAATATCTAGGAGTCATTCTTGATAAAAAATTGACGTTTCAGAAAAATCTCAGGGAAAGTGTGAAAAAAAATTAATATCATGCTTTGCAACTACGCGCCCACTTCTTGGCAGAGGAAGTCATATGTCCGCTTTTAATAAACTCCTCTTATATAAATCTATACTTCGACCAGCATTACTCTATGCTAGTCCTGTCTGGGGCCACGCTGCCAAAACTCACCATCAACACATTTAAGTTCTTCAAAATAAAGCACTCAGAGAGATTATCAACACGCCATGGTTCATTCCAAATTCTTATATCCACCGTGATCTCAAAGTAGATACAGTTCAAGATTATATTAAAAAACTTTCGAGAAATTTCTTCTATTCAGTTCACACTCATCCTAACAACTGCATCAACTCTCTTAGATGTTCTTCATTTCCCAGAGAACACAAATATCCATCTGACATTCTCCATCCTTAACATTTTTAACTGATTTGGACCTTTGACCAGAAAGTCACCTTTTTCTTCGACTGATGGCGGCCACCTGACTTTTACTTTCGTTTTTTTGTTTGTTTGTTTGTTTGTTTTGTTTTACTGATGTTCTTCACGTGATACAGAGTAAAAGGAGGCGCTGCTTTCTGAAACTCAAATTCACTATATGTTCTTAGTAGACTTCTTCGTTTCATTATTTTGCTTGCTTATGCTAGTTGTATATATTTGATACTTGTGTATATGTATTTTCATCTTTTTTTTATATTTTATTAATATGTATATTTTTTGTTGTGTTTGACTATTGGCAAATTTTCGTTCTTTCCTTTCTTTTTTATTTTTATTTATTTTTTGTGTTTAATTCATTGCAATTTGATGGCAGCCTCCTCTCCAGGGGACATTTAATGGCGCGATTCTGATCGTAGATCTCTTAATGGAAGTATTGCTCCCCTTTTACTTTAACTTTTTCCTTTTCCCATTGTGGGAACCCGTATAAATATTTACACATGATATGCCCATAGGGCTTTACATGAACACAGCTTTCGACAGCCAGTGCATCTTGGCTAGTAAAGCATAAGCAACTGACATTAAAACATTAGAAAAAGTTCCAAAAATTTCGAGCCTTGTACGGATAATAATAGGCAGTAAATCTGCAAAAACAGTAATATTCCACTCATGGTCAAAGCGCCCTGGCTACGTCTCTTGCGAATGTTATTTCATGGTAAATTGCAACTCATTTATCTCTGTTAGCTTTGATCAGAAGCGGATTTTGGTGATCGAATGTCGTAGGAGCGAAGGGCTCCGCAAGGAACCGTCAGATCAATTTCCAGGTTAATGAAATAGTGAATATATTTTACATCTTCAGATGAGGTGCCCCCCACTTCATAAATGTACACTGTTTCCATTTGTTTATTCCTATCAGTTTTCAAGAGTTTCTGGATTAATTTTTAGTTTCGATCGAAGAGGAATATGGAGGAAGAAGATGAAGAAAATACGGCACATGGGGCCGAGCTTACTGAGAGCTGCAAAGCTTTACAGAAAATTAAAGCATTTTTCTATGGGCAATAAGCTCCATGAGAACATTTAAAGTCTCGAAAAATCTTATTTACAGTTTTTAAATTGCCTGAATTGAATATACAACTTCTTTCTTTAAAGTAATTTTTACTGCAGTGTATTTATGTTGAAAATAAATAAATAAATAAATAAATAAATAATAATAAAAAAAACATTTACAGAATGTTACTTATTTACAATGTGTAATAGTTTGCCGGCTGAATCGCTTTCCTTTCATTCTTTGTTTAATTCATCCAACCCGCTGAAAAGCGATAGAATGACAGAATAGGATAAAAAAGTATTTTAGGAAATGCTAGCAAAAAGAAAGAACCGCAGTTTACTATAAATTAAAAGAAATTTATTAGATTTCTCGTTTAATATTTCAAAATCTTTAAGAAATAAATAGACTGATTTTTTAAGAATGCAAACGTTCTAACATGATTAGTTCTATCCTCCCTTCAACAAGGAAAACAAAATTTTAGCGTGTCTCCCCATATTCAAACTGCGAGTTACTTGACAAGGGAAACAGGATTCTTTCAAGAATTTCATGAGCAATTGAACTGCGGTGCTTAACCACCAGGGTGCATGTGCGCCATAGCCCTACCCCTCATCGAATAACATGATAAAAGTTTCGAATTATGAGAAATGTAACTGAATGTGCTAAATAATTAAATGAGTAAGAGTTTAAATTCATAATTGCTAATAGATAAATACACATATTTTTTCCTTAAGTACCTAATTACTAATCCATACATAATTAACTATTTTTTAACAACTATTTCACAGAAGAATATATGTACACACAAGAGAAACAAAATACGAAGTGCGACGCCTTAGTGCCACTATTAAAAACAAAATGCAATCAGGAGGAAAATAGAACAATATACAATAAAGAATCTGAGCAACAATTTGCATAACACATATACAAAATTACATATTACTAACATTTAGGATCGCCCTTGGGCGTTTACTGAAATTGGGGTCCCTAGTATCATAACAATAGCTAACAACCACAGGATTGTCCAGAAGTTCCTGTTTATCATAAAATGCCCTAGATAGGCGGCAATAAAAATCACAAAGATCCTCTATTCTTAACTCTTTACGAATTTGGCTATTCCGAATGTACCAGGGGGCATTACATATCATACGCAATACCCCGTTTTGGGCAGCTTGTAACTGCCTTCTCAAACTTTTGCACGAGTATGCCCAGACGAGTCATGCATAACTACTAAGAATTGGACGCAACATGGTTTTGTAAATGAGCAACTTATTATCAATAAAATAGAACACTGTTTCGAGCAATTAAGGGAAGAGTGAAGCTTTACTAGCTCGAAACTTCCTGAGAATATGTGTAACGTGTGAGTTCCATGTAAGAGGTTTACTGAGGATCACCCCAAGATAAGGGACCTGCCTTGACCCAGGGAATGTCCACACCATACATTTGCAGGTGAGTCGGGAAATTCTTCTTAGTAGTAAACAGTATGGCATGTGTCTTGTCGACATTCACTTTGACTTTCCATTTGGTCAGTCAAGTCTCTAGCGAGTGGATGTGGTGTTGTAGCTGTTGTATTGCTGAACTAACAAATGCACTTTGCGTAAGGATCGCTGTGTCGTCTGCATACATGGCTAGTGTTGTGTTGTGTGTAGTGGGGATGTCGTTCACGTAAATATTGAATAGGGTAGGGCCCAGAAGGGATCCCTGTGGAACACCAGTCCGTATAGGCCGGTTTGTGGATAATGAACCAGAAACATGAACGACAGAGTGTCTACCGGTTAGGTAGGATTTAATTATGTTTGTGATGTAGCCTGGGAGTCCCAGGTTGTGTAATTTGTATATGAGGACATCCAGCCATACTTGGCGACATCTAAGAAAAGTCCACTAGTGACACGATGTTGTTGCATCCCACTGCTTATTAACAACTCTGTAGAGTTGATGCGTTGTCGAGTGCTTCCGCCTGAACCCAAACTGATAGGGTATGAGGATCTTCTGCTCATCCAGGAAGATGTTTATTCTATGGAGAATAACTGCTTCCACGATTTTGCTAATTGAGCTTAGCAAACTGATTGGTCGGTAACTCTCAGGAGCAGTCGCAGGCTTGTTGGGCTTTAGCAGAGGGACAATCTTGGCAGTTTTCCAGCAAGTTGGGAAGTATTGCCATCGTAGTATGATATTCCCTAACTTGGTGAAGTAGAGTATTAAGAATTTCATGAGCAGAGTCACTGCGTTCGGATGTGCAGGTGACGAATCAAGACGAGTGCCATTTCAGAATAATAAGTTAAGGCTAGAAGAAAATATTTTCGCATCTTGGCGAAAAAGAAAAGTCTCTGGCGCTTTCGAACAAAAAGTACTTAAAAAACGGGCAATTAACTCGCCAACTGATTAACTACTTTGGTTTCTCATGCGTTTTATGAGAGGTGCGTCACAGCAAATTTAAACGCATTCAGTAAGTTCATCGATAGATGAACTGCGAATTTCGTTTCTTCGGAAGCAACATTTGTCTTGGATATTAAGTAACCAAAAGAAAAGCCCTAGTACAATTTGTATAGTACCAAACACGAAAGAAACGCAGCGTGTATTTAAAATGGTTCATAACAAAGAAACCAGGTGCTCACCAGCGGCCGAGCGCTAAACACTGGTAGTTTAAGTTCCATTCCATGTGAAAGAGCTGGTGGCATGGTCATTTTCATGCTTTTTCCTATGGGTAAAGTGGGCACGAGCCAGTCTTCCTTAAGTTCTCTAAGTTAAGTCTACAGCGTAACTACTTTTGACCACAGTGAGTTATAATACTGTAATAGGATGACCATTCGGATTTTTAGAAGGATAAATTAGTGATGTTCCAAATGACAATGTTGATGTCATTAAGGAAAGCTGATTTCAGAGATTTTAGGAAATTTTAAAATTTTGCCAAACTTTGCTAAAAATTTCGTCATTGGCGATCAAAAGCTCTATATTTAATAAATTTTTCTGCATTATTTGTAGAATATTATCACCTAATTTTTTACTGCTATGTATTTTTGATAAGTAGATTTTAAAAAAATTGAGAATCCAAAGTTTGAAGATGTTTTAAATATACCGTTTTGTATGGCGAAACAACGAGGACGCGCGACATGCTCCAATTATGTTGGCAAAAATTCAGTATGAAAGAATTGGCGAGCAGTCTCAGCCCACAGATTTATATTTTTCAGCAATAATTCTTTTCGTCATAACTTTAAAAATAATGTTAATAATTTAAATGTTAGGGGGGTAAAAAAAGAATTCAATGCCGCAAAAATTATCTTCAAGATGGAGGTGGCTGGCTTTTTTTTTTCCTTTAATCATTCAAATTCTCAAAATATATGTGTATATTATGCACTTCAGAAATTTTATACCAAGCTGTACATGCATTTAGTTAATAATGTTTTAATAAAACTGACGTTTTCCCTTTAATTTTAGACCTGTTTGCTTTGAATATACTAAGAAAAAAACCACTTCAAATGCTTCAGTGTTACCCTTTCTGGCTGGTGCCACATGGTAAGTCTTTAAAATAACTATAAGAATCTTCGCAATAAGAAGTATTTAAAAGATTATTACATGTAAATTAAAATGCAGTATAAAGCTTCAATAATATCACTTACACACGCTTGGATGTAAATTAATCCTTTTTCTTCTCGGAAGGGAAGTATATTAAAGAACCTTGGGAAAACACACCTTTTTTCCCTTCCGATCAGCAACAATTTGCTTTTGCACATTAAGATAATTAAAGCTATTCTTTTTAAAGAAGGACTGATAAGAAATATAGAAGGTCCATTTCAACTTCATACAGATGCCTCTGCAACCGACATAGGTGCTTGATTAACACCTATAAATACACATCGGTCAATTTGACCAATAGGCATTTTTACGTTCTGATTTTGGCAACACTGGTTAAGCAAAGAAACTGAGGGAGTTTATGAACTTTACATTACACCAGTATATAATATGTCAATGTTTCGTAGCATCAAGTTTTCTGCTTTTGTTAAAATTTCACACTGTATTACATTTATTATCAATCATGTTTAATAATCTTTGCTTGTTAATTTAAATTTTCTTTAATTTTTTACTGCCTTAGCATGTTTTTAAAATAGTAAAATAGGTAAAAAAAAAACATTAAAAATGCATACACGGTCAAACTGATCGCATGTTTAACTTTGCGTTATAAGGAACATGTGTTCTTATAGGTGTTAAAACGTCGACAGTGCTAAAGAAATGCCGCTTGCGCAAGAAACTCACTGTAAACCAAATGAAAGTGTTAACAGTTGAACAAGAGACTTATTTATACCCGAAGCCCTAAAAAAGTTTGATATTTAGATGCCCTGGGTGCTGGGATGCAGATTGTTTCAGATCACAGGGCCTTGGAATATTTAAACAGTAATGTGCTCATGGATCTAAACTGTCACGTTGGGTTTAGGAGAACTTGATGATTCTCCTGTGGGTCGTTAAATCAGATGGGGTAGTATATATAATAACCGTTTTACACATTTGTGTGCAAAATAAAACGTACTCGCGTATCAAATCATTCAGGCGTAGCTTTACTGTTGGATTATGTCTACGACTATCATTTGTGAAAATAAAAATAATCTTTTATGGATACAGTGTACATCATTTAAACAAAAAATATAATTCTAAAAAGGAAAGCATGAACATATTAAAAGGTGAAAGTAAATAAATCATTCATCTATACTAGTAGATTTCTTAAATATATATAAAAAGATGTCAGTTTAACGTTAAAGAATGAAGTTGTAAAAGGGACTAAAACAAATTTAAAATCAAACGATAAATCTGCTTAACTTAAAAACTTGAAATTTATAAATTAGAAGAACATTATACCATCCTGGAAAATTTAAATTGAATTTAAAAAAGAAAAACTATAAAACTTTAGAACAAAGTAAGATTCAAATTGAAAGGATTTTTTTTTTTTTAATTTTAGAAAAAGTTTTAACAAATTTTTTGAAGATTAAAAAAAATTTAAATGAATATGCAGATTAATTATTCATATTTTAATGCTTCAAAGCGACTTTTCCAGAGATAATAATTTAAAACAATAAAACCTGAAAAATTAAGGAGTACTAAATTTACGTTTCGTTCCACTTTTTTAGCAAAATTAATATAATAAAAATAAAAGGAAAAAAAGAATAAAAAACAATTTCTATACAAAGTTTATACTTCCTATACAAAGTTCAAAATAAAGTAATTAAAAGTAAATTAAAAAGCCTAAAACTTGCGCTAAAGCTGCAGAGTAATAAACCAATGATTCATAATAATTTATAATAGAAATTTAAATTCTAAAAAATTCTTTCATTCTTGGTTTTTAAGTTCAATTTGTGTTCCTTGGAGATGGCACATGGAAAGTTTTCCTACTATAAACTTTCTATACAAAGTATATTTCTGCACAATTTCTATACAGTTACATTTACATCCACTCTCAAAGAGTCAGGCGATTACCCCGACGCGATTTCAGTGTCGACAACAAAATACATACACGTACATAATCCAATACAAAACAAATAAAATACACAAATATGTTATATAATAATAAATTATTCAAATTATTTTGATTTTTAGCTGCAGCCTCTGGTTTGAATACGGTGTTGTATCTGATGATTTCACGTTAATATTGGTAAATATAATCTCAGCATTTCTTCAATTCTGCTACCTCATCTGCTTTTATACTTATACTCCGTATAAGGTAAGCGATATTTTTATAGTATTTACTATCTGCTCATACAATAATAGCAATTTCATTACTTTTTGGCACAGTAACACAAATTTAGATAGTTCAGATATAAAAAATTATCAAAATTTGATTGCAACTGCAAAAAGCACAAGGTACGTTTCCGTGTTGCCGGCGCACGTGCCAAACGGAGTATCCTCGCTGGTAACCTTTTACGCCTCATTTTCAAAACAAGTCGCAGCCATTTCTTGTCAGATTGATTGGCTCTTTCAATACTGGCATACAATTACATAGAATTTTTACCAGATAGTACAATTTTATGCCCTAAGCCCATTCGCGGTAATTAAGTCAATTATAATGCAATCACACCGCTCACCCGAAGGCGAAAATATAGAAAAGGCAATGTCAATGGTTAAATTCACCAGTTCTAATGAGAATACACTACCGAAGTAAAGCACTGCGGTTTTACGCAATTTCTGAGTAAGCTATTCGTACGAATTTAAATACTTCTTGCATTTAAACTTGTATTCCAAATTAAGATTTAACTTGAAATTAATGTAGATAATTACTGATATTTTTGTAGCATAGTTTGCGTGAGATGAGATCACTTGGGGTCACGTGAGGTGAAACGGCGAATCAGCTTGTTGAACTATGAAAGCTAATAAATTCTTAAGTTAATGCTTTTTTACAAATTTATTGTCTTTATTTATTGGATTTTTAAAAATTTTTAAACGCTATTAAAATGCCCTACGCCTTCAAAATAACAATTCTTAGAACTAACATCTGTTAGTAGTTTTTATGCGTATAATCTATGTTGTCGCCAATAAAGTTTGCTTGGCGAGATTTGCGCTGGCGAAACGGAAAAGTACCAAGCACTTTAATCAAATGAAAAATAATAGAACATTTTTTAGTATGTTTAGGGAAATTTCGAAAAATGCATTTACTGTAGATGTCATTAAAAAAAAAAAATAAATAAAAAAAAAAAAAAAAATAACTACTGGTTTACTATATCCTTTTGAACAATTTCTAATTTTCCATAAACAGTGTACTTTATTTCATTAATTTATTACATTATTTCATTAATTTTATTACATTAATTTCAAATTTACTCAGAAATTATGTAAAACCGCAGTGCTTTACTTCGCTAATGCATTCTCGTTAGAATGAATGAATTTAACTTTTGATTTTGCCTTTTCTATATTTTCACCTTTGGGGGAGCGGAGTAATTGCATTCTAATTGACTTAATTACCACGAATGGTCTTAAGGCATAAAATTTAACTATCTGGTAAAATTTCTATGTGATTATGCCAGTATTAAAACAATCAATCTGATGATAAATGGCTGCGACTAGTTTTGAAAATGAGGCGTAAAAAGGTTTCAGCGAAGATAATCCGTTTGGCATCAGTTGTACCATTATTGGCGACTTTATCGTTTGCGCCAGCAAAACGGAAAAGTACACAAATTTGATATACATGCATAAAGTTATTATGTTTTAAGAAAGATGTTATATCATATATACTGACACGAATGTGTAAGATGATATATCAAATAATATTTGTAATTTTCTGAGGTGGTTTTTTTTTTTTTTATTTTTTTATTTTTTTATTTTTTTTTTTTTTTTAAGTCCAAAGGGGCTTTGTCCTAGGAGGACTATTGTTTTCGTTTTGCGATTTGGCGTTGGTTCACTATAAATGCCCGTTTCACTTTTCAAACTGTTGCCACCAAATGTTAGAGTCCTCATTAATTTGACGAAATTAAATGATGAAAATCTGCATAAATGTATATATATTTTTTTATTATATGAGCATTACAACGGGCATTTGAAAATTACTTAAGGCTCTTTTGCTATCTCGAGGTTTGCGATGCAGTGTTTTGTTTAATTGCTCGTTGGTTCGTGTCGTGCATGTTTTGAATGTTGCAATGAGAGACGTGGTGGCAAGTTTTCAGACGCTTATTTTAGATTGTGTTCAAAGTAAATTTAGTATTAAAAGGTACAATAGTCGAGTTGTTAAAAAGTCTTTTGTTCACGGGCGTGTTTATGCGGATAGAAGTGCACTTTTGGAATTTCTGTGGAAGTCAGGACTTTTAAAACGGATATTGGTGTGTCCGAAATGCGGAGCTGATATGAGAACTTGGACGAAGAATTGTATTTCTGATAGACTTGTGTGGGTTAGCAGTCAAATGGTTGCTGGTAAAGTATGTGGCTGCCAGCGGAGTTTAAGATTTGGATCATGGTTTTCGTGTAGTAAGTTAACTTTGGAGGAAGTTTTTATCGTTACTTTCGAAATTTTGAATCACAGAAAGACATACTTTTGTTTACAGACGTTGTGTGACTGGCGAAATTTTATTCACGTATGTATTATAGTAAGCGCATTTCATTTTATTGTTTTATTTTATAGAATGTTATGTTTTTTGTTTTTTACTATGAATTTCTGTTGTTATTTGAATTGTTTGTAATTTATTTTAGTTCATTTTGTTGATTTGTGCGCAATGCCTAGATTGTGCAATTCGTAGATTTTTTTTTAAGTTTAAACACAATGCTGTGTACATGGGATTCTTTGAAATTTATTGTTGTTATGTTAATTTTGCGTAGTTCGTAGATTCCTTCGCTGCCTAGATTGTGCAATTCGTAGATGTTTTTGAAGTTAAAACATATCGCTGTGTACATGGCTTCTTGTCAAATATTTTTGGTTAGAAACTTTATGTTTTTGCTATCTAAATTTATTGTTTTGTTTCGGATGTTCAAAACGTGGTTTTTGCCATGTGCGAAAACCGCGTTTTTTGGAGACATTTTAGGCTTAGTCTGAAATGAAGAAAAAAAAAAAAAAAAAAAAAAAAGATAGTAATATGGCACCGTGGAGTTTCTCGCTAAAAATATTTGGCGAGAAATTTGTCGCCAAGCGAGGGCGTATATAAGAGTATTTCCAACTTTAACAAATTTTGGATTAGCAAACTCAAGGATTTCAAAGCGAGCAATGGCAACGTTGTACAGAAAAAAACATTTCCATCGCCAGTGCGCGAGATTCCGTATCGGAAATTCTAAAGATATGCTCAATTTAAAACTATTTTGCGACATTACTCTTGAATTGAATTTTATGGTTTAAATGCGAAGAACGTGATATTTAATAAATAAAGATAACAGACAAAATGTTAAGAAAATGCCCCCTTTGGACATAATTTAAAATCTGAAATCTTTCAGATTTTTCTATGTTTTAAATTCCCATATACATTTTTTTTTTTTCAGTCGCATACTAAGAAGCTGATAATAGCTGCTAGCATTTTTTTGTTTTGTACCTATGTATATTGCTTCCATCTAACTGAAAACCATTCAACTGCAGTTCAGATATTAGGGCTTTGTGGATGTATAAGTAGCATCTTGACATGTGCCGCACCATTAGCAAGTGTTGTAAGTATTCTAATTTAAATTACATACATATATATCTATATAACATTATTTAATCGAAAAAATTAAATTTATATATCAGCTTATTAAAAAAGCTATCTACATCTATTTTTATTTTAGTGATATACACTGGCTATGTTTAATATAAATGAATTTTAATATTTCTTGAAAGCGTTCAAATTTACATCAAAAATATTTTTACTAAACTGATGCTAGCAGTTCAGTTGTTCAAATGTTTAAACCTAGTTTACCTGTTGAAAGAAATGAATGTGTATTCGAATATCATATCTTTTTCTCACTGACTGAAGTTAGTTTACTAAAACAGTATTCGGTTAATACAATCTGAATATGAAATATATACATTTTATATAAAAAAAAAAATTCATCGAACGAAGTCCGAGGAAAAGAGCAGTATTCATAAGGCTAGGATAAGCCAATAAAAACAAAATCCATAGAAAATAACATTGTTAGGAAATTAAATAAAAAAAAAATACAAAGACTAAGATTGTAAAACCTTATTTTGTACTAATAAATTATTTTTTAATTTTAAGAAACTTGCCTTTCTCTTCTGATTTCAATTTTCTGCCAGATACACAAATTTAATGACGTACATACAAATCTCAATGAGTTCGGAAACAGTACTTAAATAGCAGAATTTTAAATGTTCGCAGTAGAAGAGGTTGTTCTCAGTTTATGCAGCGTGTCTGCAAGTAGCTCTATTGCTGAATATTTTTTGCTAGCCACTTACTTTAATTTATATTAATATTCTAGACGTGGCTTTGCTGTGTGCAGCCAATAAAGCTGATTTAGACTTAACTAGAAGTCAGTCTTGTAGTTAAAAGTTAATTCGTTCTAACTGTGCATACTATTTAAGTTACTTAGCCGCAAGTGGTGATTCGATTGAGTGCATGTTCTGTTCAGTTAGTTAAAATAAAAAAGTTATTATAACCTTCGACGGCAGTCGTGTTTTTTTTTTTTTTTTTTTTTTTTTTTTTTTCAGACATAGCGAGAATTTGCTGTCTCGTCGTCAGTAGGGTTTACATTTTATGCTTCCTAAACGAGTAAGACTCATCTTGTAGATCATCAAACTTTCATCTCTCCCACTCTGGACCCAGCTACCGCATTCAGCCTCGGACTCGCAACTTTGAAGGACTGTCTCTCCGGAAGTGTATTTCAATTTTTCTTCGTCTCGCTCTACAACGTTTTTACTCATCATTCGGACTTTTAATAATTGCTCTTTCAAGATATGCCTCATCATCTACTAAATTATTGCTTTAATTTCCTCATCTTCACTTATGCCATTCCCATGCTATGCACAACGATCGAAAAACGATTATGCAGCTACATTGAGATAGGGTCAGAACTCAGGAGTCCAGAAAAATGAAGGTGCTACTTTGGTAGACGGTTGCACGGATTTTTGGCGATTTACATTGGCGCAATTGTTGGCGCGGTTTTTACAGTCGTCAGACATCTTGAAAAATGCTGTTTTTACGTATTTTACGCATATAGTAAAGTATTCGAAACTTAAAAAAAAAAAAAAAAAAAAAAAAAAAAAAAATCGTTAAAAATAATGGATTAATTTTTTGTTGAAAACGTTGTTTTTTTAAGATGGCTGGCAAATGTAAATAAATACATTTACTAAGAGTATAAAATGCTAAGTAAGGTTAAATTATTACTTTCATATAATAGAATAAAAACACCGCTATAAAAACATTACTTAAATTGAATATCGAATTAAAAACATCATACCAACGTTTAAAAGAATTAAAATATTACTTAAATACTTTAAAATAAGTTTTATAGGATTTGATTATTTAACATTAAAACATATGTGACAATAAATATCTCAATTTTTGAAAACATTGTATTAATTTTTTAAGAAAATTTGAAGTATACAATTATAAAGTAAAAGAAAATTATGTACTTTCTAAAGTATTTTACCTGCCGTATGTTGATAAGTACCAAAAAAAAAAAAAAAAAAAAAAAAAAAAAAAAAAAAAAAGTCTTCTAAGGATCTTCATCTGTGATCTACATCTCTTGCACTTCATTGAAGAAGCAATTAGCGAGGTTTTCTCCAAAAAATTAAAATAAATTTCCCCTGACGCTATTAACAATTTATAAACAAACCTTTGATTAGGAAAGACAGGCTGGCCAACATAAGAAGTTCTCAAAGGGCAATTTTTTTTATTCCAATACCAATAATTCTTGGTAATTACCAATAACAACATTCATCTTCGAAACAGACATATCCATTCCATTTGAAATCTGAGGAATTCGAAGAGATGAATAATAAAATTTTAAAATGGCGCGGTAATGCACAAATATTCAGTAACCAATCAGGAAGCTGATTACATCACGCATAGATTTAAAATTATTTAAATAATCATTCATAATAAAAACATTTTTAAAACAAATGAAAAATTAAATTGTATTTTAATATTTAACAGCCATAAATAATATTTAAAACATTAGATTAAATTTATAGATATTAATACAACCAATTACTTTTTAAGTATGGTGACGTCATTGATTACATCATCCACAACATAAAATTATATAAAATATTATAAATAACAAAATTTTTATTTCAAATAAAAATGCAAAATTTAATTGATTTTTAATATTTAGAAGCCATAAATAATATTTAAAACACGGAATTTATGCATAATAAAACGCATTATCTTTTAAATCAAATGACAACAAAGCATCGGTTACTATAAATAACTTATAAAGCAATGGTTTTACCATAAGTCGTATTACTTGCCAAAAAATCGCCAAAATCCGTGCAACCGTCTACCAAAGTAGCACCAAAATGAACATTGTTCTACGAGAGGAACACATCTGAACGTATAGTTACACCCATTTTGAGTGCGATGAAACCCTTGATATCTATAGCATTGCAAGGGTCCGACCTTCCTCTATATTGTTCAGTTTGAATTTTCAAGTCGAGTAAATACTTCTGATTAAAGATTTCAGAAGATTTTCCATTTTGGGGTAATGTGACGAGAAATAAGGGCAATTTCGTAACTTCGCCTATTCATTTGCTTAACTGAATCAATAGTGTACCTTCTGAATTCTAATTCCTGTTTAATCTCCTCTGGGCTATCATCTCTTAATAATCCTCTGATAACTATTTTCAAGTCCCTGTCTTGAGGGAGAATATAACTGTGGTGTTCAATATTAGCTGCTTTTAGCAGTGTAACACACGTTCTGTAGCATTCAGCATTTTTTATGTATATTTTAACGTTTCCTCCTGATTGATTACTATTAAATTCAATGTTATTTTCTTTAAGTATCCTTCTGCCTTTACTCCAAGTAGGACCACTTCCTTTGATTTAAACTCTGGTTTACAGCTGGTCGAGAAAATTGATATGTGTTGAATAGCTGGATATAGATGACAAAACATTAATAGACTGAAGCAGTTATCTACAGGAAGTTAATAATGCTCCGGGTAAAATCGGAAGGGCTAATAAAATGGTCGAAATCAAAGAACCCCTTTTTATGAAGCTCAGAAACGAAGCGAATCGATACTTCCTAAGCAATGGCTATTTAACGGAGATTGTGCAGAGAGACTGACGAATGTCTTATTAAAAGAGTTGCAGACGGAAGTGCGGCTCAAACTTCGCAGGAACGAATGGCTAAATATATATATAGCTATATATCAAAGTGTTGCGCACACATTAAACATATCTGTCACTAATTCAGAAGTCAAACAACAAAAATCAGCGTTATATTTTCAAAATTTCACAGGACTAGTTTCGATGGTTTTACCGAACCACCATCCTCAGCTGCAAAACCGCAAAACGCAGCGGTTTTGCAGCTGAGGATGTGGTTCGGTAAAACCATCGAAACTAGTCCTGTGAAAATTTCAAAAATATAACGCTGATTTTTATTGTTTGGCTTCTGAATTAGTATTTATTCGGCATGTTATTGTGTTTTAATATCTGTCACTATTTTTACATCAGAACCACTTTCCCTTCTCAGAATGATTTCAGTGTTATAATAGGTACAGTGATTATGTAACTTTAAATATTTTAATCATGATTTTGAAATTATACTTTTTAAATTTTATAATTGCGAAAAGCTTACAGAAATTCTCTTTCAGGGGCAGGTGCTGAAGACAAAAAGCACAGAAAGCCTTCCATTTCCAATAATTTTAGCTTCATTTATAGTAACAACTTTATGGTTCTTTTATGGCTTTCTAAAACATGACACATTTCTCCAGGTAAGTTATTTATAATATCAGAAATGAAAATATACAGAATAAAATGAAAATTGTGAAATTAATAAAATTTGACTACTAAGTAAATAGCCGACAACTAGTTGTTAGATGAGGTACTAAACAGCCAACTGCGAGAACAGATTTCGGATTAATGAACGAAGTAATAATAATTAAGATTTGCTACAAATGTGATTAATAAAAAAAGACAAAATGTTTAAAAAATTCATGTTATTATTGTTGAGCAACAAAGATTACGTTTTAGAAAATGAATGCAGTAATTTGGGGGAGGGGAATGAACGTCGCAGGGCGGTCTTTGATTTACATTTATCGTTGACTTTGTCCAGTGCTAAAACGTTTTGCCGCTCAGTCAAACGCCACATTCTGCTTGGTTTCTGTCTAAACTCTAAACGTTCTACCGCATTGGTTGTGGCAAGAGTACTGTATTTATATACATAGGTTATTTTTTATTTTAAAGTAGCGCTCATCTGTGAATATCGTTTGAAATTTCGAGCAAGTGTGAGAGTTAGTGAGCGTGCAAGCTCTCAGCATTCTTTGCAAGGAATTCGAAGTCACTTATACTCACGCTGTCAACTTGCGCGTTTCGTAATGTGAAGGAAAAATACTTGAGAAAATCAATCACCCCCGCGAATGTGAAATACATTCAATTATCCAGCTCTTAACAGCAAGACACATGAAAGCTAACGAATCACGCTGTGGTTGTCCATGTGTAATCACTGATGATCTGATGCGAACTGTTGAGACCCAAAGCCGCAAAAATACGAGATTCACAATTTTCAAGTTGTCATAGGATTTCTTAAAAATTTCAAGGTTGCTTTTGTTTCAAATTGTAATTGAGATGTTCAAGAAATTTTATTGACAATGGGCTCCTAAACTGCTGAGTGAGAAACACGAACAGAAAAAGACTGGCATATGCTTTAACCTTTAAATGCATGTAGTTGCCATTTGACAGCATGCCTCATATTTAGTCAGGTAAATAAAATCTAAACACAAATTTTAGCTTACTGCATAGTGCAACAAATTTGATACATACTGTTTATGTATATAGTTTTGAAAATTTCAGTGCGATGGCACCATTAACGGTGTAACGGTCATTATTGTGAGTTGATGCGTAGAGTGTAGACATCATTTTTACGAATTTTTGATTTTGTGTTTGTTGTTAATTTGATGTATTCAAAGTTTTAAAACTGTTTGAATAAGTTTATAAGGTATGTATTATTGCATAAAATTGTTATTACACATTTGCCTATTATACTTTTCTTTGTAAAAGTTAATTTGTAAAGGTTAATTAATATTTTTTTTTCAAAAATTGGAATAAAAACTTAGTTTAATTTTTTCAGTATTTTTCCTATTTTATTTGGTGTCAATTCTAATATACTTTTGACTTATATAATCGCTTGATTGGAAACAAACTGATCCATGACGACTTGAAATCGGCCCTACTAAACTTAACAAACGTTTCTTCAAAGCTTAACTTAGTTGTGATGCTGCAAGTTTCTCAGTAGTTCTTAGCAACCAAATCGTTTCGTCAGACCATTTGCACTTAGAGACCACAGCTTCGTAACCTAGCTCTGAGTGCTGATGTTTACTTGTTTTCTTGCGTGGCATGACTTTTGTAGCTTTCCATCTGATTGACACACATGCAGTACAAGAGACATAGACCTTTCTACTTTTACCTTACTTTTTTTACCGTTCTTGGAGTTACACCTGCTAGCTCAAAGTCGTGCCCTCATAACCTTAATTTTCTTATCTAGCTTATTAAGGCTCCTTCTGGGACACATAAGCAACTTCGTAGTCAGCTGTAACAGTTGTAAGGTTTGCGATCCCTCCCTACCAACATTTTAATTCTGACGCATAGGTAGAGTAATTCAACGAACTTCTATATATAGTATTTAATCGTGTATTCTTTGACTACTGCTCAACATTTTGTATAAATTGGACTGTTCTAGACAGACGAGAAACACGCCAGAGTAAAACATAAAATTAGCAAAGCAACAACTATGAGTTTGGTCCTTGATATAAATTTTTGACCAAACTCTAAGCCAAACACTTGTTACTTTGCTAATTTTATAGGCTGTTGCATCACCACGAGTTATGGTTACTGTAGCACAAGAGCGTGCATTTTATGTTCCAAGTTCTGTTTAAGTAAAAAGTTAACTTTTATCTTCTCAAAAGTGTCATTGTTCTTAGACATAGTAATAACTCGTTTCACGTTTGTTGGGATTACAAGACAGTGCCAGATCACATAACCCAGGTAGCGATTATTATCTGTCAATGAAAGTGCCCTTGGTCTAACCCCTTACATATGGTCTGAAAAGCCGATGGAGAGTGGGGCATTGTGGCGGCTATCGTAGGCTCAACGCATGCTCAGTTTCTAATAGGTGCCTATACCTCATATACATGATTGTCCACAACAGTTGGAAAGGAAAACCGGTTTTGCCGAATTAGAACTAGCTCTGGACTATCATGAAATATCTGTATTCCCAGATGATATTAAAAAATTCCTAAGACGAACCCCATTGGATTATATGAGTGTATACACATACCTTTCGGACTAACACCGGCCAAACGTTCCAGAAATATATCCATCACATATTTTCATGTCTGGAATTTCTGCATTTCTATGGCAAGTTTCTAGTTGCTGCTAGTGATGTACTTTGCATTCTCGTAAGGACAACAGGCCTACTATAATGCCAAAGGTCAGGAGCCCTGGTAAAGCAACATTATTTAAACATTTGTTGTTGAGTAACATGGCCGTACAATGCCCTTGAAGCAAATTACATTCGGACCCTGTGTTGCTAAAAATAAATAGCTAATCATAAACTTAAGAAGTTGTACAGCAGAAATTTGGGCAACTAACGAAGTTAGGGAAAAGTAGTCATGGGGGATGCACCTAGTTGTTCCTTTGTCTTATTGCTTTTGCCAGGAGTTATCCGCATTTATTTTCCCTTTCCATTTCAGTGTTAACTCTGGGTTGGAGATATACCTAATAATGGCGAACGTGTATGCTGTTGCTTCCTTTACCAACATGTTCACGCTTTCATTTCTCTCATTCTCTACGTGATCCCATGCTGGGTGATGAAACATCGCTGCTGTGGAGAACTTCTCTCATAGCATATATCAGGGAATTGTTTAAGGCACCATCATTAATAGCTCGGATACTAGATATGCTATTTATACGAATATAACCGTTCTGATTATCTATCAAGACTTCCTCTTGTACAAAACAGACTAGTTATAAAGCCCTCAGTCTTGGAACCATTGATTTATATTTCAAGTTCTGATATTTCTTTTACTGCATCACTGATAAAAGCCTCCGGCTTCGCAGAATCCGTTTTTGCGGATGGAACCATCTTCTCATAGTGTGTGCTCAAATACGTGGCATCGTGTGTGGTCAGACCTGTTCTTGCGCTACCAGATATGATTTGAGGCCTGTAAGAATAATTATTGCATTTGTGGGCAAAGTTCTGTACGCTCTGGAGATCGGGCTGTCTACCTTTGCAGGCTGATAATGTTTTTAAAGTTATGTGCATTAAATTTTGTACAAGATTACACTGCATGGCATATAGTTGGCTCTGTCATTGTGTCATAATCACATATAGCAGTGCTGAGGAGATGCCTCAGGTTTTTCTTGTCATCCGGAGCAGATTCAAAGGCGTAAATAAGGGTATGCACGGAATGCCGTCGCATAGGGGTCCGAAGGCTTAGGGGGCCCTTAAATGCCCTGCTGAACTACATTTACATGTTTCAACTTAAAAGACAGATTCTATTACATATATATACTATATAGAAGCTTTTATTCATTTCCTTCATGAGTGCGAAATTGGAGTTTCAGTAAAAGAAGAATAATTATTTTGTATTTTTTATCTTGTATTCCCCCCTTTGCTTTTCATTTTTATTTTTATGGAGTTTGTACTACTGTGAATTCTTATTTTAATTTTGATGTGTTTGGATTTTGTGTTAAAACTTTTTTACACGATTGTTAATATTAATACAGTTGAGGAATAGCCTTGCTTTGACTTCAGTTTACTTTTAACTTTAGAATCTTTTAAGTTTATATATAGTATATGTAATATAATTCATTTTCTTTTAAATTATAGTCCCCTACCTATATGGTGCAGTGACGCAGTTCCCTTTATGACGTAGATAGCGGGCCCTTGGAAGCACATGAAACAGCTAAATTCAGTGTTTGCAAAAGTTAATATTTCATCATTTAACTATGAAACAGCAACTTTGTGAATCCTATCCCCAGTTTAGGAATAGGAGTCTGCAGAAAACGGAAAAAGTTTCTTTATATTCATTAGTCTCTAATCTGAGATTGTTAAAGATGACCCCCCTAAAGAAAAGGTTTCTCCCTTTGCATTCCCAACTCAAGAGGGGGTGGAAGTGGAAATTAATTGTAATTATTTAGTATAATATAGTTATTTTGCATATTAATTTTTTCTAAGTATAAATCAAAGAAGTAACTAGGCAGGATTCTGGTACTTAATTTGGAATGAATTTTGCAAGCAGTTCGCAATTTTTATAATATGTCATTCTGCAGTTTTATTCTGTTCATATATTGAACCTCTTACTAGCATTTCCATTAAACCCAAGTCCAAAAATCAGTCCTAATATTCAACTTGAAATTAAATTTATTAATGTGAATGATTCTTACAATTTAATATAACATGTATTGCGTTGGTTTGCTATAAACGGCGTATCACTTTTTAAATTGTTGCCACCAAATAATTTCACCCTGTATTTTTTTAAAAGAAATTAAATAAGGAAGAATCTGCATGTTTGAATGTATAGTTCACAATGTAAAAAATGATGGTACTTGCAACCTGTGCAGTCACACCAGGAGGCAGGGTAAGAGACTGAAAAATTTTGGATTTAGAAGTACGATTGACACTGCAAATTGGCAAAGGCAAAAGGCGGATCGATTTTCCTCTCTTTTTTTAGACTAATAATCTGGAGGGGGAATCATTCGTAAGTATCAGTTG